ATAGTATAGAGTGCAGATTTAGCTTTGTTTTTAATTAATTAATTCTTATTATTAGACCAGTCTCTATTTTGCAGCAGGTAGCCTTGATGCAGAAACTCGAGACAAAAAAGAAGGCAGAACCCAAACCAGTCAAGGTTTAAACAATAAACCCTCTGGTTCTGTGCAGCAGCAGAGCATATGGCGTTTGCACCTGAGACATGTCTTAGAAGCCTTTTGATGCAGCGAGCCAACAGTTGGCCTTGGGGAACATCTGGAGCGAGTGTGACCGTTTGTCTTGTCTTTTTTTCAGCGGAACACACTGCCAGCTCTGTCGCTCTCCACTCGTGTGGATTTTAACATCATGAAGGGTCTTTGGAGCGGTCAGTCAGGGGGATTGTTCTGATTGGCTGCTCGTGGTAGCAAATGATAGCACAATGAAAAAGAGTAACATTGAAACTGAACACTAAATTAACATTTTACTTCTCTACCTATTAAATGTTATTGTTTTGGTTCTTTATTTAATATTTTATTTTAAAAAAGTGCTGATGAGAATGCAAAGATGATCATTCCACATTTTATTTTCCCACACCATTTAATTTCTGTAAAATAGTCTGTATGAGCACCCATCATTGCTTTGGTTTACTGTTTATGCTTAATGTAACACATTAAATTCAAATAAATGTACCAAAGGGTTAACAATCTTATATATAACAGGTGGTATTTTAGGGTTTTAGGGTTCACTGTTTAGTCCAAAGACACTTAGCCATGCAAAGGGAGCATTTTGCAAATGTTAGCTAGCTGCTTGTACTTTTTATTTACTTTTTACTTTTAGATAATCGTTTAATAGCCTTTACCTAGTATTTATTTCTAGTTTTAGCTAGCACATTGCTATTTTTAGCTATTGCCTATCTACTTTTGGTGTTTAGCTAATATTAACTTTAACATAAGCTTTTAGTCAGTGCTCTGCTTCTTCAGCATTTTCACAAAAATTTAATTTCTCATTACCTTTGGATCAATTCAGATTATGGATGCTTCATCAGCACTTGTAAATAATTGACATCAAAAGTCATCCTGAGTACCAACAGAGACATGGTCAGAGAATAAAGTCTGGAAAATCATCATTTGTTTCCCATTATCATTTTTTTCTCCCTATTTATCACAAGCTGGAAACCACATTTAAGACCAGTCATCATGTGGTTATCATACATACTTTCAAGCATCAATTCAGATTAAAAATAAAAACAACACAGCCGGGCGGTACAGTCAAGAACATCCTTTTTATTCAATCAGGTGCTGCTCTTCTCAAACTGTTTTTCTTCTTAYGGAAAAGAAACTGTAATTAACACATGCATTTCACCGAGAGCTCTGGGGGGTGTTCAGCTTTAACAGAGGCGTAGAAGAGCTGGGAGTCATAGGTGGGGGTGAGGGGGGGCTGCTTATCTCATCAGTAACCATACACATTTAGGAAGTAAAGACCAAAAATAAAAACAACAGAACAAAGAGTCGGAGTGGTCCTGCATGAGGTGGTCAGAGGGGGAAACGTTGGAGGGACTTCCCTGAAAACTCAGAGATCAGGTTCTTGCTGGCTTTAGCCGTCTAGTGTCACTGGTTAATACTGCCGAAGGTTTCACTGTGTGGAACCCACAATACTTTACAACGAAAAGTTGGGTTTGAACTGATTTTAATCCAAGGTATTCAACCCCCTCCTTCAGCCTCGTGTGGGATGAGTCCGGTTATAAGGTGCTTGTAGTTTTCATATTACAGTTCAAAGCATCCTCAAAGACAGCATACCCTGATAGCAAATATACAGTCATTTATTCATATATATAT